TTTAATAATATTATCTCTTACTTAAGATTTTCTCTTTCGTCTTTCGAGAAAATAAAATACCAAATACACATCTCGCAGATAACTAATACGTTTCTCAAGGTTTAATGTCAAATCAGATTATTTTTGATCATCTATAATATTCTGTTAACGCGCTGAATCAAAATAATTTTTTTTTTTTTTCTTTTACTTTATCATAATCTAATTTCAAGATATTACAATCCTTTTTTTCTCTGAATTAATTAGAAATTATTACTGAGAAAAAAGAAACAAAAAGAATAGGCAACTATCTATTTCTCTTATCAAAATCTACGAACCCCTACTATATTATAAAAAGAGAAAGAAAGAAAAAACAAAAAGAAATAGGAAGCCTTAAAGAAAACACGATAAGACTTTTCTCGTGTACGAATTAGCAAAATAAAAAAAGGAAATTAATAAGAGCCGTAAAAAATAAGAATAAGAGAGAGAATGAGCAGATAGGTGGGGGTGGTGAGGGAGAGTATAGGAAAGGGAACGGAAGGAATTGTGGGATGGGGAGAAGAGAGAAGAGAGAGAGGGGAGAGCGGGGGAGGCTTAGGGGGTGGGATATCGAGGAAATAAAAGAAATAGAGATGGTCTCGCGACGGGGGGTTTGACGCGAGAACGATATCGGATTTTAACCGTATAGAAGGCTAATTTGAATTGCATGGCACTTACGCACACGCGTGATCGCGCAATATCGTGTGCGGGCACGTAGTAGAGAGAGTAAGAATATAGTATAAGAGTAGAGAGAAAAGAAGGCGTGGAAGCCGTGTGTTCCTAGAGTGCAAGTAGTTCGCACGTAACCTAAGAGAGAAAAAGTATATAAGAGAAAGAGAGAGTGAGAGAGAGAAAGAAAGAATTGTGAACGTAGAAACAGGGAGAGAGAGAGAGAGAGAGAGGATTGTATTATGAGTCTCTTACAACCGACTCCAGGCACTTTCCAGAAAACAAAGACCGAGCGAATTCATAATTCGCTAATTTGTTGAAGATTTTTTGCTCGAGTGCCGACGCTAGCTCGGGTAGTATGGCTTTGTCGCAAATGTCGGCGGCACCGAACGAGAAACGGGGGATGGTTACGGGTTTCGAGTCGCTTTGAAGTACTAATCAGTATCGACCTGCGCCTATAGGCCGCACCCTCCGTCTCCACCCTCCTCCTCCTCCTCCTCTTCCTACTCCTCCATATCCTCTTCCTTCTCCTCCTTCATCGCTGACTACCACCACCACCACCACCACCAGTACCAACCGATACCACCACCATCACTACCACCACCATCACCGTCAGCTAACCACCCCCGGGTGCGCAGAATTTAATCCCCTCTCCATGAAATCCCTTTTTCCTTCTCTCTCTCTCTCTCTCTCTATCTCACTCTCACTCTCACTCTCACTCTCTTACTCGTTCTCTCTCGTTACTCGTCTCTCTGTCTACCTTTCCTTCTTTCTTTCTTTCCTTCTTTCTTTTATTTCCTTCCTTCTTTATTTCCTTCTTCATTTCGTTTTCTTCCTCTACTGTGAGCTCTTTTTTTTAATCCCCTTTCCACCCCCTCCTCATTGATAAAAATTGTATTCTGTTTCTGCATGTGTGTGTGTGTGTGTGTGTGTGTGTGTGCGCGCGCGTCGTTCCTGCGTGCAAGTACCTACTCGAAATTCTTACGATTACATCCATTATTTAAACGTTGAGAAGGTTTTTTTTCTTTTTGTTTTCTTTTCGTATTTTTCGTTTATTTCGGATTAGATACAATAAATTGATGGCCCCCGTCAAATGTGGTATCGCGGGAACAAAATATTTCTCGAGTTTTTTTTGTCTAAATACGTCGTTTGGATATTTTTTGTCCTCTCCCTCATCCAACCTACCACCCTCTATCATTCGTAGAACATGTAATAGTATGCGTAAATTTGTTCTCACTCTAAGGTCAAATACCCTATCGCGCTTGTTTTTTTTTTCTTCTTCTTCCTTTCCTTTTTTTCTTCTTTTCTTTCTTTTCTTTTTTTTTTCCTTATAATGCAGAGAAGAGGACGGTGTGTAGCAAGGGTTGCGCGATTATACGACGATTTGTTGAATGGTTCGTGTCGAGAAGCGTTAGCAGAAGCAAGCAAATCTTCTGCAGTAGGGAAAAAGAGATGTGTAAGATCGTTTGAAAGAGAGAAAGAGAAAGGGAATAAGCTACGAAAGAATGAGTGAGCGAGTGAGTGAGTGAGTGAGTGAGTGAGGGAGTGAGTGAGGAAGAAAAGTAGATAGGGAATGAGTATGTGTCCTCCTCCGCTAAGCGTTGATAGGCAATCTAGTTGATTGCCAACTTCAAACGAACCGAAAAGCTGTGTGCGAAAGTCGATATGGCGAGGCAAAAAAAAATAAATTAAAAAAGAAAGAAAGAAAGAGAGAAAGAAAGTGGGAGAATCAAGAGCGAGAGAACGAATCTAAGAATTTGGAACAATACCTCTTGGGCCTCACCTTTCCTTTACCTTCTCCACTTCTTCACAACCCCCCCCCACCCCACCCCTTCCAAACCCCCGTCACCACCATTTCTACCACACCCTTGTTCATCCCGATCACAGGCAAATACGATTTTCTCTCCGTGTCGTCGTCTCTCTAGACGTTTTATCGATTTCATCAACCCTCATCAAAGGTTCATTTTTGGTTGTTGTTGTTCTCCTTTTTTTTCCTTTCCCTAGTTACCTTCCTTTTTTCCTCATTTTCTTATTTTTATTCTAATCATTTTTTAATAGTAGTAGTAGTAATAGTATTGTAATATTTAAATAAATTTCATTAAGAAAATTTTATTTCTCAATGATTTTACTTTCCACCCTAGTTCGTATGAATTATTTATTGACAACAACCATGATCATATTTTTCTTCTTTTTATTATTATCTATTGTTTAGAAAAAGATAAAGGAGATAAAATCATTTTTAGTGTTCTCTTTTTTTCTTCCTCAATTACCTTTTTTCCATTTTCTTATTTTTAATCTAATCATTATTTTAATAGTAGTAATAGCAATAGTAGTAGTAGTAGTAGTAATAGTAGTAGTAGTAGTAGTATTATAGTATTTAAATTAATTTCATTGAAAAAACACCTTATTTTAAATGATTTTCCTTTCTTATTTTTATTCTAATCTCATCGCTTAATAGTAGTAGTGTAGTAATAGTAGTATTATAATATTTAAATTAATTTCATTGAGAGGAAACACACACATCTTATTTTCAATGATTTTTCTTTCCATCCTAGTTTATATGAATATTCTTATTGACAAGAACGATCATTATATTTCTTCTTCCTCTTATTATTATTATTATTATCTATCGTTTAAAATAATGATAAAGAAGAAAACAAAATCCTTGATCCGAGTCCTCCTATCCCTGGCCTGTACTTTCTTCTTTAAGTCTGCCCAAGATTTTTTTAAGACAAAATATAAAGGTACGTACGAGAAGAGAGAGAGAGAGAGAGAGAGAGAGACGAGTGCTCGCGCGCGCGCACGCACGCGGGGCAAATAAAAATGCTCTCTACTGTAAGACGAGGTGCCAGAGTGACGTTTGAATGGAAGGTCTGATCCTTTGTCCTGACCCCCTCCTCGAATGGGAACCCGATACTCGAAAAACGTTCTCAAAATTCACTACGAAACGAACGAGCCGACGTTCAAATTCTATGTTGCATTTTTTCTTTCAATGATTAACGCTGACCGATGATACGTATGTAATCATACTTCTTATACCTTTTTTCTTCCAAAATGACTTTATAATTGATCACCGATTATAGATCATTTCTCGGTTCGAGTAATATTTTATTACTTAAATCAATCTGTTACCACAATCAAGATTTAACACCATATTAAATATTATATATTTCTTTTTCTTGAATTAAGTGTGTGTGTGTTTTTATCCATATATTATGTTCGTTTTTCTTTTGAGTGGTGGGGTGGGGGTAGTTTCTCCCTGGAGAAAAGGGAAACAATTTTTTCACACGTTTTTCTTGTTTTCTTTGCAAAACAGTTAATCCTCGTTTCCATAATAAAATGATACCGGTGAACGATCATTTTGCGGAACAATAATAATAATAATCGTACTTATCAAGATTTCTAATACGTTTCGCGAAAATCAATGGGGGTGGGGGATTGGTATGGGGATTGATAAATGACGATGATTCAAGGAATTAATTCGGTACGAGTTGAGAACAGTTTTGCGCGCGCGCGTTTAGAGCTATTTTTACGATTCATCGAGGTTCTTTGTGTTTTGGTGAGACATTGCAGGTCTCTACCCAACACTCAACTCATTATACCACTAATTATTCATAACGTTGGGGATTATTCCGACAAAAATATTCGGATTCCCACAACGTGCAAGGCGCGTAAAACGTGGCTACCGTTACATTATATTCTAACGCGTTCCTTCATGACGTCAATATGGTTATAAAAGAAAACAAATACACAAAAATATAATAAGAAGAAGTAGATATTTACCTTGTAGAAATATATATATATATAAATCTACAGCAATTAGTTAGAATTTGATTAGTCATAGATGGGTAGCAGACAACCCCGAGAGAAAATGTTCAGCTGTTGTTTGTAAGTTAGAGAATTTGTCTGTGGAAATTCCCTCGATTCTCGTAGAAAGATATCGTTGGACACAATGAAGAGGGTGGGGGKGGGGGATGAAGACGGTAACGGGAACGGGAACGGGAACGGGGGTGCGGGGGCACGTTCCCGTACGAGCAACAAAGGTGCGATTTTCGGTAATACGATCCTCGAGTAGTAGGCTCAGGGTGTTAAACGATAGCCATAAGTGGCACGTTAAGTGCTCGTTTAACGGGAGAACGATGATACTATATACTATCGATTGAAGTCGAGTTACCCGACGGAAGGATGAGTAGAACTAACTTGGAAATAAAATATCTGTGACTTCGCACACACGTACACGCATACACAGAGATCTATTCTTGAAATAGAATAGAAAATAATATGAAAAATATGAAATAAAGGATTATCTAACGTACCGTGTGGCGGTGTATGCTGAGTTGGACTATGTTGATGATGATTGGCGGTAACAGCAGTACCAGGAAGTACATGTTGCGCGTGTGCCGCTGGATGAACATTGACACCGGCAGGTGAGGCAGGAAGTTGACCCGGTTGATGTACCTGATGATGAGGTACATGATGCGCCGGATGAGGATGCGGTGGTGGTAGAAAAGCAGCCGCGACGGCTGCCTGAGCATTCAGGTAGGCCATACGCGAGGCCGTCAAATTTCCTAGGTTCCCAAGATTTCCAAGATTACCTAGATGATTCGTCAGGCTAGGCATGTAATCCCAGAGTTTGTGATGGGGTGCATTAGGTGCATAAGAAACCGCCGATACGCCGGCGGGTGGCGATCCTTGAGGTGAGCCACGATCGGTACCACTTGCATTTCCGGTACCATTCAGACCCAATAACTCTTGAATCGCGAACGGCGTGCGTTGCGGCATCTTGCTGTCCTTCTTCAGCCTTACTTCTGTCCCTTTTTTATTATCAATAATTTTCAATATGTCATCATCATGCGAGATGACTATCTTCTTCTTCCTCTTCTTCTTCTTCTTCTTCTTATTCCTTTTCTTATTCTTTTCTCTCTCTCTCTCTTTTTTTATTTAAGAATTAGGAACTTTTTATCTTTGTTATACGTAATATATATATATATGTATGTAAATATATACTCGTTTCGTTATATTCCGATGAATATTCGATTAAAAACACGATTTTTGTTTGACGATAGGCCCTCTCTGCTCACCCGTACACGTCCGTCCGTACACAGCATCCGACGCTCCGTAACAAATGTACACGTTCAAATAAAACTTTCTTCTTTATTATAACGTTTCTTTTTATCATTGATCGTAATACTCTTCTAGGCTAACTTTCGTTGATACTTCGTTGAGATATTCACTTGGTATTGTTAGAATACTTGTTAATCCTTTTATCCTATGTTATTCTCCCCATAGATCTTCATAATGGATTTTTAATTTTCCCTAGGTTGGATTATAATATCCCTAGGTTTAAGTTTTCTATCTTATTTCTGGTGCTAGATAAATGTCTACATACACTTATCCTTTGATTTATCTTCTTCTTATTATTTTTCGTTGTATATTTTCGTATCTTAAACCAGATATATTATGATAGACAAATGGTTCGATAGATAAATAGATACTTAGATGAATATATATATATACATATATATGAATATATCTAAATATGAATTGCTTAAGATAGAAATGAAAGATAGAAATAGAAAGAAAGTACAAGTGGTGGTAGTTTGCCGGCGGGCAAACTTTCAGTTAGCGACGGCAACGGGTGTTCTCGTGGATGCGAAATAGTGAAAGAGAGAGAGAGAGAGAAAGAGAGAGAGAGAGAGAGAGAGAGAGAGAGAGAGAGAGAGAGAGAGAGTGAAACAGAAATGATATATTTTGTTTCTCTTTTTCAAGATATATAACAATAAAGAATATATATATATATATACTATTATATATATATATATATATATAATAGTAGAAATGAGATAAACTTCACGTCTTCTTTTACCTCAGGCTATTTCTTTATATTTTCTCACGTTTTTTTTCATATCTTATCTCACACTTTGCATAAACCATATCTCATGAAGGAAAATAGTTACGATAAAAATCAAAAAGTTCACCAGAATACTCGTGTATACGTGTAGTAGTAGTAGTAGTAGTAGTAGTAGTAGTAGTAGTAGTAGTAGTAGTAGTAGTATATAACAAAATGCAATCCTTTTTTCACGATACAACTTTACTTATTTATCTTTCCTTGAATAAAAACCAAACGAAAACTCCCCCAAGAAAAAAAAAGTCGAAAAAGAAAAATATATATATAGTAAACCAAAGGAACAATCTCTCTCTTTATCCAATAATCAACGTGACGAATAAAACAACCCAGTTGTTTTCCATAATCTGGTGAGACGGGGGGGGGGTGAGTGAGATAAATCAACAAATACGACGACAAAAGTTCAGTTATGCACCAAATAATATGTTGCTTATTGGTTCAATTATTTTATGCACTGATGCTGATGCTGATGATGCTAATGCTGATGCTGATGATTGTTAAATGTTCTCATCCGGATTTCAAACTTGTGTTCCAATGTATAACTTAAATTAATTACTTGTATTTATTATAATATAATATACGTCAGATGAATTTATTTATATATTGATTTTTGTTTTTTTTCTCTTTTTCGATGAGAAAAACGTAAACGTTGATTGATGAAATATTATAAGGTATATATATAGATGTAATATATTATCTCACACTCGCGAGATCTTGATCGGAGCGCAACCGTGTCGTCGTCGCGGCGATGGGCAACTGAGCTCGTTCGGTGTCGGCTGTACGGGGTTGGGAGCCCCCAGGGGCGGCCACCACCAACTCTCCTTTCTCTCTCTCTCTTTCACTCGCTCACTCATACTCACACTCGCACTCGCACTCTCTCATATTCACTCGGTTCACTCTTTTCTCTTAACCGCCACCTCTCCTCTCCTCCTCCTCCCCTCCTCCTCGTCTCTTCGCACCCCCTTCGTAATGCCTAAGCTTCCCTTTCGTTCAGTTTCGTTTCGAATGGTGTGGTGTGGTACGGGCGCGCGCGCGCACGATTCTACCCTAAGAGAGAGAGAAGAAGAAGAGAAGGGGTGGGTGGTGGCCGTCCCTAAGTCGACAGTGGCCCTCTCGCATCGCCGATTGGTCCGTTTTTTCACACTCCCAACCAGGCAGACATAGCCCTAGTTACCCGACACAGAAGGTGGGCTTTACTATAGTTGACGCCTCAACATCGAGGCCTAGGATACGCCTACGAAACGCCGCTACGCGTTTTCATCTACACCCCAAAAAACTTCTTCTTTCTTCTTTCTCCCTCTTGCTATTTCTTACCTTCTTCTTTTATCCTTTTTCTTTCTTTTTCCTTTTTTACTCTTTTAGTTTTTCCTTCACTTTTTATTCCTTATTCTTTTTTCGAGATTCCATATATACACAGTTATTCATATTTCCATTTTTTCTTTTCAGATTTTCTTTCAATCATTATTTTCTTATGGAAGAGGATGATTTTTATATTTTTGTTTTAACGTAATTATTTAATCATTTATTATTAGTTTATCGTTGGAAGGTACTTTTACTAATTTGTGACTGAAGTTTGTAGTTATTAATTATTAATTAAGGTATATATATTCGATTAGAACGTTATTCGATCATCTCGATTGTCTCAATTAATTTATTTTCCTTTTTCTCTTTCCCTGTACCCATTTTGTTTCTTTCTTTTTCTATTTTACTAATTATTTGATTGAACGATAACAATGGGGTTAATTATTAACGTTAAGTAAATATATTGATTTGAAAGATATTCGCGTAATAGGATTATCTAGAGGAAGATTTAGGGGGGGGGGTAAGCATATTTATGATAAGAAGTTTCATAAAGATAGAAAAGTTCAAGTATATTAAATGCAAGGATTAGAATTGTTGTGTCGCGTTGTGAAACCGGGCTTTTCTCGCTTGGTGGGTTCTCTATTAACGACGTGGGAGTGGTCTGGGCAGTAGCCAATCAGAAAGCGTCACTTTCAACCCTCATTGGCCGTGACGTAAATCGATTTATAACTCACCCTCTCTTGGCGGTCGTGAATCGAAACACGCCCTTAAGGTCGCGTCTCCTGATCCTTTTGGAATCCTACTTGGCGAAGGACACACAGGAAGTTAGGGTGGGAAGAAAAGGGACGAGAAAGGAATAAAAAGGGCTGAAAGTTTTTGGGAAAGTAAAAATATTAACGATATGATTTTTTTTTCTTTTTTTTTTTCTTTTTTTAAATCCTTCCAAAGCGTTCTTCTTTTAGTTCTCAATTTCTATTGTGCGGGATTTTTTATTTATGTGAGATTGTTTTTTTGTAAAAATATAGATATTTTCTTTTGCATAATATATTGTTTTATTTCTTGCATGTTATCTCTCTCTCTCTCCCTCTCTTTTATTTTTTAATTTCTTTCGTATTAATTTAAAGTAATTTACAAATGTAAAGTTTCATTGATGTAAACGCAACTTACATGGCATCTATCTTACTCGTACAAATTTATAATAATTTATGAATGAAACGTTTTCCCTCACATACCTCACGTATAAGGTATTCATTTATTTCATTCTCATACACTTTTACAATAATTTATGAATAAAAAGTAACGTAGAATTAAATGAAACAATTCATTCATTATAAATGTTGTAGTAAATTAATTAATGAATGATTAAAAATTATCATTGAAACTTTGTATAATTCAATGAATGAAAACTTTCATTGAAAATAAAAATTCATTAGACTTGCAAATTATTTATCTACCTCTTTCTCATACAACGTGTTAGAATAATTTCTGAATAAAAAAAATATCATAGAATTAAATGAAACAATTCATTCATAAAAAACGTTGTAGTAAACTAATTAATGAATGACTAAAGAAAAAATGAAAGAAAAGGTTTTGATCGAAAGAAAATATATATTTGCCCATTGGTTTTTCCTCAAACTCGTGCATTATTTTTACATTATACACACTTCGTGGATATTTTCATAATAAGTGAATAATGTAAACAATTGAATGAAACTTATATCTTCCTTTTAATATTCCTTTAATCCTTATATAAAATATAATCAAGGGATATTTAGATGAAATAATACCTCTATCTCTCTCTCTCTCTCCATTTCTAACGTAAAAATATAGAAACGTAAAGCAAAGTAATTATTGATAGAGAAAAGCTCTGGGGGATCGAATGTCCTCGTGATAATTACGAGAGGAGGCCCGTTTGGGATAGAAGTTATATAAGGACCGAAGTGAAAAGGATAACGCTCGAGTTATTTCAATGGGAAGAAAAGAGAGAATAAAAAAAAAAAGGGACAGAGAGATATATGTCTTATGGGTCTCTTCTTTGTGAGGAAAAAGAAAAAGCAAAAGAAAAAGAAAAAAAGGGCTCGGAGCGCACGGCGCGCGCGAAGGTTGTATTGTTTCATCGACAAAAAATCTCGCGAGTTTCTTCGTTCGTTCCTTCAACGTCGTCGTGGGGGTTAAAGAAAAGCCGTAGGAACAACCCCCGTTCGTTTCTACGATTTTTTCTCTCTCTCACTCTCGTTCTTTCTTCTAACCAATCCCTTTTCTTTCCGTTTGTGCTACTTGTGTCAAGAGATTATTATACTTCTTGACTATAAGGTCCTCGTCCATCCCCGCCTCCCACCCCAAACCCCCACTCATCCCCCATCCCGTCCCTTATGGTGTTTTATTCGAGAAAAAATTATTATTTTTCTAATGATCTCACCACCACCAACACCCTTTAGGGCTTTTCATTATAATACCCCTTTTATTATACATTTTCCATATATCTCGAAAAATAACCGATTAGAGACGTAGATGAAAATGAGAACGAAATTTATTATTCGTGCAAAATTTATAATTAAAATTATTTAAATGAATTTGTATATAAAACAAAAATTCTATGCTCGACAACGCGGGCTAGTGTTTCATTTGTATAATTTTAAAATAATACTCTAATATATATATTTTGTTGATGTTAAATATTTTATTCAATATTAATAATTTAAATAATGAATAAACTATTCCAGTACGGAGCAGCGCATAACGATTGCAATCGTTAAGAATGGAATGAATTTTTCTGCTACTGCAAACTATTTTAATTAAATAAATGCAAAAAAAAAAGAAAAGAACCTCGAACCAAGGAAGGTAAGAAAAAAATTGATAAGCGCATATATCCGCCCTTAGTCCGCCCAGTACTCAAAGGGTTAATCATCTAATACATTTTACTTTTAAAATTTTTTTCAGGTAAAAAAACGAAATGTGTGCAACGAGAAGAAATGAAAAGAAATAAATAAAAAAAGGGAGAAGGAGGGGGCTACACGTAAAAGTTACGTAACACAATGAATGATCTTTTGTGGTAATAACATTAAAAATACATAAACAATATTTATAAGAATATAAACACGCGTGGGAGTTGTTAATAAATATAAAAACAAATATATAATGTTAGAAGTAAATTTTTAGTCTCGATTTTTTTACTGGGGGCGGCCAGTAAAAAAAAATTGTTGACAGTTTTTCAACGAACAGCAGTCGTAAGATTTTTTAGCACCGAGAGAACAAAGAAGTACCAGAGGTTTAGCTTTCTTATTCCTGCACGGGTTTCTCTTTCACGTTCCAACGATACTTGGCAGTATTTCAGCAGGATTTCAACAGGACTTTCAACGGGGTTTCCGACAGGAATTTTACAGGTTCTTCTACTTTTTTTTTCTTTCCTTTTACGTTTATCGTTCGTTTATCGCGATTATCGTTCATTTGCGGTAAACGTGTTTTTTTTCTTCTTTTTTTTTTTTTTATTATTCCTGTATCGTATACACGATTATTTTTTCTTTTTTTTTCCTAATAATTTTAACACACGATTATTATTGGAACGTATTAGAAGATTCAACGAAAGATTGTAGAATTATTATGAAAATTTGTTGGTAACTTCGTCAACAACGTAATATCAAATGAGAATATTTTTCTTTCATGATTTTATTATGCATTTTGTAGGTTTAATTTAATAATACTATTAGAAAATATCGAAAATAAAATAATAAAAAAGTGTAAATCGTGAATATTTGCGATATAATATAATAATAAGTAGATAGTAAATAGATGAAAGATGTTGTTAAACTCGATATCTGTTGGTATCGTGTAGGTGACAACAGTAGTGCTAGTTAGACGTAGTTGGAAGCACTAACGTTTCCGGAAACGCCTAGGAGATGAGCCTCGGTGCGAACACGATGCCCCGACTCACGGTCTGTTAATTTATCTAATTACGATAGCAGTCGGGGATAATTTAGCCCCTCACACCGCCGGAAATTCGAGAGTAACGGTGTGCCGGGAAACACCGAATTAGAGTAGTAGTCCGGGATGCTTTGGAAACGTTGAAATTTCACGTTCACCTAGAATCCGTAACACGGCCACTTTAACCATCGTTATCTAATCCCCCGTCATTCCTTCCTTTTTTTTCTCTATCAAATTAAACGATAATTACGAATTTCTTTTGAGGGAAATAATAATAATAATTATTATAAAAATATTATACGTTAGTTTTTTGTAATACTTGAAATTCATTTCTTAACTCGTCATCAATTTCACTCCACGTTTATACATTAAAATATTAATCAGATTATTTGTTAGATTATTATTTTGAGGATGGGAGTTAACAATCGTTATATAATATATATATGTAATAATAATTAATCGTAGATGAATGTGACCATTTATAAATCCGAGTTAATTTATTCCTAGTAGAAAATTAA